AATTTTGGATAAAAAATTTATGTTCTATTATGAATAACTTAGACCCTTTATTTAATTTTTTAGTTTTATTCCAATAGATAATATAATTGTATATTAATTACAACTTTTTAAGAAAAAATTAAAATTTTATTTTTAATTTTATTTCAATAAATGATACAATAGAATAGGAATTTTAATTATAAAATTTAAAAAATTTGATATTCTTTCTTTAATTAGAATATTTTTAATCTAAGTATAATATTTTAAATTTAAAGGATTTAAGTATTATATATCTACAAACTTCAAAGGAGTCTAAGTATAATTTATTAATAGATATATTTATAACAGAGGTCTAAATGTTATGCGCGTATAAAGTTTAGGGGATTTGTGTGTAATTTTTTAAATATCAGGAAGTCTAAATGATTATGTGATAAACCTCAGAGAGTCTGGATGTAATTCTCCCTAAATTTTATTTCCATAAATTATATCCAAATTTGTTAAACATCATGACTTCAATACAAAATACGACACAAATCCATTGACAGAGAGATGTTAGCGGTTTGCCTAGAGACCACCATTTGTATTCATAAACCTTAAGGTCACGAATTCAAATCTCGTCATCTCCCCCTTTGCAATAGTGCTGACCAAAAAGATTAAAACAATAATAATAATAATAATAATTCCATTGGCAGACATAGGTATGACAATAATCGCACTGGATTCGGTAACTTGTGTGTGGACTGAAAAAAGATTGTCTGGAAAAGGGTGGGCTCTTATTGCATTTACATTCATGGTGAAAGAATATAAATTTGACAGGTGTTATAGCCTTTAAAGGCAGGAATAAGTCGAGTGTGAGGTTCTCCATTGGAGAAAGACATCATAGGAAGCAAAGAACCACGAAAGACATCGGAAGCAGCTTCTGCAATCAATAAGATGCTTCTATGTTGAGGAAGCCACCTAAGAGGTGGAATACACAGTTTTTTTCTTTTCCTTTTTGTTAACTAGAATGTGCATGCTTCTTTATTCTAGGTTTACAAAACCCAAACCCAATACACAAATTCCCCTGTTTCATAGTATAGGAGTTAACGGACATGAACTAAAGAATGCCCCGTAGGGCATAGGTAATGTAGTTGTAGCAACACAACATAACCAACATAGGCACCAGCAACACAATTTCTGTCTTGTAGCGACAAAGGGTACAGGGAATGATGAACCAAAAATTGGTATAGACACACTACACCATATCTATCCAACCTATGCAGGCCAACCATTGCCACAGATCTCGTCACTCAATAGAACATTACAAAATCCCTGTAATCAACTACTGCCAGAGCCAGCTGGGGAAGAAAAAAAATTTAAATTCACATGTCTTCCCCTTTTTTTTTGCCTTTAAGAAGTCTAATCTGAGTCTTGAACTCAAGCTGAGCTTACTTTGATCCACAAAGAAAGATTAAGCAAAGTCAAATGTATGTCCTAGCCACTTCAATCGAAATCAAACCTTTCTGAAACCAGAAACTATCCACACACAAATCTTTCGATATAGTGCTCCCTAGTAACAAATATTCGCATTGAGAGACTGAGACATCCACTGGCACAGAACTTGATCTGCTTCTTTCCTTTATTGCACTCCTTCATTCATGGAAGTATTACAAAGCTAAATCCTTTTCTTACTACTTTTCTTTTATGTTCTGTTTAGACGAACTCAAATCTCAGGAAAGTTCATGATCCACCAACAAAGAGTTCATGTGCACGATTCTAGTACACTATTCTTGGGCAGGCCCTCTAACTGTAGCTGGGAACAAGATTTTTGTCGAAAAGAATTTCTAGTCCAGAAGCTGGAAACACTTCAGAGACATGACCAGACTGCAAAACACTAGATACTTCAAATGAGTAATTATTTCACAAAATCCAATAATTGACAGGCCAAACCAAGCACAAAAACAGAATTCAANCTAGTCCAGAAGCTGGAAACACTTCAGAGACATGACCAGACTGCAAAACACTAGATATTTCAAATGAGTAAGTATTTCATAAAATCCAATAATTGACAGGCCAAACCAAGCACAAAAACAGAATTCAAAAACACATGGTCCATATTGATATAGAAAGAAAGAATGCCTCATGCACTAAATTTATAGAGACTGACCATAACTGGTAAATGATCCATTCATAGCAAAAATGTCTGACTTAAAGCAGGCAAAATTGTTCTTGCAATTTCAGCTCTTTGCACTGGGTAACTAATTGTAGAATACGGTTTTCTCACCCTTGGTACACATACTTCCAAACTTTTTGGATGGGTCAAAGCCTAGTGCAACACATCCCAAATATCCTCTGCCAATTTTGCTGAAGATTCATTTGTATTTCCTTTTCGATAGTAGGACTAGAAAAAAGAATCTTTAGAGAGACAAACAACACAAGGAATAAGCTGATTCCCATAAAAATTTTACAGAGCTCCAGGAAGAAAATTAGGCCAGAGTTCTCCATGTCGAGAATGGTACAGCCTACAGAGCAACCCCATAAAAGGCAGGACTGGCCTCAAAACATATCAATTGACTTCTCAATTCGAAGCTGAAAAGTAGTACAAAATTTCAAACCGGAGGAATTGATGTCACACTGAGCAAACTAAAGAAGCAGGCTTTATGTGGCAGGTGCC